TGTGGCTAGTTGCACACTTACCTTGTACAAGTCATATGTAATGCATTGACCAAAAACACAATAAAGGCGGTAGCTACTGATAACATCGGCTTTAACCAAAAAAAAAAAAATAATAATATTTGTATTACAGCAACTGTTACTAATAATTGAGTTAAGATACTTGTAATAATAGCCATACTAATATAACTAACAGATTATAGAACATTTGTGTAGTTATATAGAAGAATACAAACTGACAATCAGATAGTACAAATATTATATAAGTTCTTGTAATTGTATAAATCTATTGAAATTAGATAGCAAGAAGTTTATTTAGAAAGACTTAAGTAAAAAGATAGTTAGATCTTTGATGATATTACTATAAAGACTAGTCTAAGGAAACAGATATCAAGATTATAGTATTTAGAAAAACAAGAATCTTTAGATTAGAGAAAACTCAGAAGTATTACTAACCAGACTTACTAGAATGAACTAAAGAAAAAGAATATTAGACTAATCTAATCTACTAATAAACTGATTATAGTTCTATATAGACTATCTGAATTAGAAGTCTGAACAAAAAGCAAAGTTATACTAAAGTACTAGAGTTATGCTATGAAGTAGATGCTAATATTTAAGTAAATTCTACAAGAATATAGCAGTTAAATAATATAACTCTAATTATAAGTATTAGTTCTGCTATAGTAATATCTGTTCAACTATAAAAATGAATACAAAAAGTTTTAAAAAGTTTACTTTAAAGATAAAATAGTCTTAAGGTTAAGACAATAATCTAGACATCTAAATATGATTTAGTAATAATAATACAAATTGCAGGTTTAAAGAGTTTAAAGTGAAACATTCAAGCAAAAGTGTTAAGTATAACAATTAGTAAAGAACTTTTGAGCAGACTCCTTAAATAAGTAATATAGAAAAGTTATATATATAGCCAATTATATACTTTTTTGTAGTTGTTCATAAAATCATATTATCAAAAAAGTTATTAATAAAAATCAAAAGACTAAAAAGATCATCTTAATACTAAAAAAAAAATAATAATTATAATAACTAACTCAAATATATTAATAATACTATTATAAAAATATAATCTTTAATTTTTTTTAATATTAAAGTAATTTTTTTGGTTTTTTAACTTTTATTAATAACTTTTTTAATAATATGATTCTATAAACTATTACAAAAAGAGTGTATAATTGGTTATATATATAAGTTTTCTATATTACTTATTTAAAGAATTTGGTTAAAAGTTTTTTATTAATTACTATATTTAATATCTCTGCTTGAATGTTTCATTTTAAACTTTCTAAACCTGTACTTGTATTAATATTATTAGGTTAAGCCTAGGTTATTATCTTAATATTAAGACTATTTTATCCTAAAGATAAACTTCTTGAAGCCTTCTGTACTTATTTTTATAACTAATTTAGTATTGTTATATAAAACTAACACTTGTAATCAGAGTTATATTATTTAATTACTATACTCTTATAGAGTTTATTTAAACTCTAATATCTACTTTATAGCATATTCTTAATATTTTAGTATAATTTTAACTTTTTATCAAACTTCTAATTTAGATAGATTATATAGGACTATAATCAGTTCATTGGTATATTGAGTTAAACCAATATTTTTTTCTTTAATTTATTCTAATAGTCTGATTAGTAATATTTCTAAAACTTCCAATTTAGAGATTTTTGCTTATTTAAATATTACAACTTTGATATTTATTTTCTAGGTTTAGTTTTTACAATAATGTTATCAAAAATCTATGCTATTTTTTTATTCAGATCTTTCTAAATAAACTTTTTACTTTCTAATTTTAATAAATTTATATAATCACAAAAACTTATTTAGAGTTTGCACTGCCTGATACTGGTTTACATTCTTCTGTATAATGTTATATTTATACAGATGTTTCTAATTCAATTATTAGAAACAGTTATTATAATATAAATATTATATAAGTAATTATTTTAATTTTTGTTATTGATAGAATTTGAACATATAACTTACTATTTGAATGATTGATAACTTATTTACTTTACTAAGTTACTATATTACTAAGTATAATCTTTAATAATAATAATATTTATATTTATATATATATAATGAAAATTAAGTTAAACTAAGTTAAAATAGAAGTATGATAACTTAGTTAAATAGATAAGTTAACAATTTTTTAAGTAATAAATTAAATATTTAAATTCTATTGATAGCAAAAATTTGAATAATTATTTATATATTACTTGTATTATAACAACTGTTTTTAATAATTGAATTAAGATATCTATAATAACAATTATATTAACATAACTAACAGGTTATAAGATATCTGTATAAGTATAATATTATATAAAAAAATGCAAACTAACATCAAGCAATGCAAACTCTAGATAAATTTCTATAATTATATAAATCTATTAAAATTAAAAAACAAAAAGTCTATTTGAAAAGATCTGAGTAAAAAAATAGTATAGATTTTTAATGACATTATCATAAAGACTAAATTTATAAAACAAATACCAATATTAAAATACTCAAAGAACCTCTAAATAGAAGTATTATTAACTAAATTGCCAGAACAAACTAGAGGAAAAAGATATCAAACTAACTTGATATACTAATAAACTAATTATAATTCTAGAAGGATGTAGCAACTTAGTGAAGTGGATAAGTTGTCAACCCTCCAAGTAGTAGGTTGTGAGTTCAAAACTCACGAATGGTGAAATTTGGATAATTACCTATGTAATATTTGTATTATGACAACTGTTTCTAATAATTGAGTTAAGATACCTGTAATTATAGTCATATCAGCATGACTGGCAGGTCATGAAGCATCTGTATAACTGGTTACACAGAGGAATGCAAATCGGCATTGGATGGTGCAAACCCAAAATAAGTTCTTGTGGCTGTGTAAATCCATAGAAATTGGGGAACAAGAAGCCTATTTGGGAAGACCCAAGTAGAGAGATAACACGGATATTCGACAGTACTACTGTAAAGGTTAGACCTAGGAAATAGATACCAATGTGGAGTACCTGGATGGGCAAAAACCTCTAAATGGAGGGTACCACCAACCAGGCTGTCAGAAGTTCAACTGGAAAGACCAGAGGAAAAAAATATCAGGCTGACCTGATATACCAATGGGCTGGTCATAGTCATACCAGACTATCTGGATTGGAAGTTTGAAAAAAAGCAGGGGTATACTAAAAGTACTAGGGATATGCTGTGAAGTAAATGCTAGGGTCTGGATGAACTCTGCAAGGGCAAGCCCTGTTAATGTTCCGTAGATAGGTAGGTAGTTAACAGAGGGGCCCTCGGAGCCTTATAATCAAGTGTCATGCTTTAAAAATAATTGTGTAACAGCTTGACAGATGTACAGAAAGAAGGCTAAATGTTAGGTTAGATGGCACTTAGGTGTATAAGAACTGGGATGCTAATTGTCTAGGTGTAGTATAGGAATCAAAATGTTTAATTAAATAGTCTCCTAGTAGATTATAAGCATGGCAGCTAGTGTAGAGCCCTTGGGCAGACTACTTAAATAGGTAACCAAAAGTTACATGTGTGACTAGTTGTACACTCATCCTGCACAAATAATATATAATGTATTTACTAAAAACACAATAAAGGCATTAGCTGCCATTAACATCGACCTTAAAACAAAAAAAAAAAAAAAAAAAAAATTATAATTCTATTAGGTTATCTGAATTAGAAGTTTAAAAAATATACTAAAATAATTCAAATATGCTGTAAAGTAAATTCTAAAATTTAAGTAAACTATAAAAACATAATGATTTAATAATTAGTTCTAATTACAAGTGTTAGTTATAACAATACTAAATCAATTGTAAAAATAGATATAAAAAACTTTAAAAATTTATCTTAAAGATAAAATAATTCTAAAATTGAAACAATAACCTAAACACAACCTAACAATATTAATACAAATGTAAATTTAAATTTAAAAAAAAACATCTAAACAAGAATATTAAATATAACAATTAATAAAAAATCTTTAAGCAAACTCTTTAAATAAGTAATATAAAAAAATTATATATATAACCAAATATACACTCTTTCTGTAATAGTTAATAAAATCATATTACCAAAAAAGTCATTAATAAAAATCAAAAGACCAAAAAAATCACCTTAATACCAAAAAAACAAAAATAAATTAAAATAAATTAAAATTAAAATTAAAATTAAAATTAACATATAATAATAAAATTATAAAAAGCTTAATTATACAACAAAATTATTTTAATAAAATTTTAATATAAAATTAAAATTAAACTATAAGTAAAATCAAAATTAAAATTAAAATATAGTAAATAAATTATCATAAAAAGAAGCACAAAGTGCACAAGGCACTAACTAGCTCTGTTCTGTCTAAAAATATTTAATAATCATTATAACAAATATAAAATTACCTTAACAAACTTTATAACATATACAAATATATTTTTTTAAGATTTTATTTACTAAAATTTATACCATTGTAAAAAACATATTTTAATCTATATACTGTGAATTAATAAAAATTAAACATAAATATAAAAAACCTTATTAGTAATAATCAAGTTTTCCATGTGCCACGCGGATTATATGACAAATGATCCACGTACCCTTTACTCTTAAAGCGTATATCCACCAAGAACGTCAGACTGCGCCATGGCAAGTAATAATGGATCATCGAAAAACTAGAAAAGATAATATATATAAGAATATTGTGTGATAATGCGTGATAAAATTGAATTATTCATATACCTTGTTTACGGAAACATCTTCGGACAATCCCTTACGTCTTCGAGTTTTTACCATAAAGTCCCTAGCTAAGTGCTGCGCTGGACTAGGTTCTAAAGGTCGAAGAATAATACTTTTATCCAACGGATCACCAGGAACAATCTAGAGTGATTAAATAATTATATAACACGTTAATAAAATATACATATAATGAGATATAAGAGTAATTTTAAATCACCTGCCAATGGTCAAACATTTGTTGACAAAATGCCTGCCCTTGTGTATGAGTTCTTAAGTCTGTTTCAAATCCATTTGCCTCAATTACAGGGATATAGGCTTTGACAGTATATAATGGAGAGCCTGCCTTTGGAATATCCTGTGTGACATGTCCTCTAATAAAACAATAATAATGTTAAATTTGGAAATGAATAAAGGAAATGAATTAAATCAATCGATTATAATACCTTCTTCTCGCTAAGACTGTATACACAGCAGAAACACAATCAGCAGGCGCTTGAATTTCAACATAATATACAGGTTCCATCAACCTTGGTGTTGCCTATTTATTGTTTGATATGTTTATACAAAATTCGTATATATCGATTTTTATATATTATAAAATGTTATTATTATAAACTAAGAAACAAACGTCAATGTACCGGTAAATTCCAAACTTTATTTCAAAATAAGACATTACCGTAAGAAATGCAGAATAACAAACACGTCTTGCTGTAGGAATTACTTGACCACCACCACGGAATAAAGGTTCAGGTGCTATAACGGCATCTAAAATCCTAAATTTGACATTACGTATAGCTTAAACAAAGCGATTAAATGTCACGTTAATTGACTTTATAATAATTATATAATTTATCAGGGACACTTACGTTCATCACACAAAGGTCCTTCTCGAGTACCCCATTGAAAACCTTGTCGTATTGAATCTCGAACTAGTTTCATAAGATCTTTGTTTACCTACAATAAATAAAAATGAATAACAAATGAAATTATAATTAGGTAATAAATTTCAGTGATGCTTTAATAATTTTTTTATACCTCTGCAGGTAAGGTATCATCTATCAGGATATTTGGACCATTATCGTCAGGTCCGAATGCCCATATCGAACGAGATGCCAATACATCCCAAGAATACTTTTCTTCAAAGAATTTTGCAACATTTTTAACCTCCCACTTTAAGCTTACTCTACCAGCTTCAATGTCTTCAGCGATACCTTTTTCCAGTGGCTCAGATATCATGGTCAGTTTATTTCTATTAAATAGAATATGGTTAATTAAAATAAATTGTAAAAAAGATTATATCACATGTACGCACTTTTTATTTGGAGTTTCAGCAAAACACTTTAAAGCCGATGTTTCTACAACCGTTTCACAGAATCGCACCACAGGATCAGAAACCTTAAGTTCTATTTCAGCATACATTCTTCTAAGATCATGTAAAACACAATCCAAGCATAATTCACCCGTGCCGAGAATAATATGTTCACCAGATTCTTCAACCTGTAAACCAAAAACAAGATAAGAAAATGCTATACGAATATTATACCAAATTATATAAAAAAAAATCATATAAATTGTTACTTTTGTTATTAATATAGGATAACTTTTATTAATTTTTCGTAATCCATCCAACATTTTAGGCAATTCAGATGGATTGACCGGTTCAACGGCTACTTTAAGTACAGCAGTTGTGACAAATGACAAAGATCTAAAGATATATTTATGCCCTTCTTCTTCGGAGTTTTCAGTAATGGTCGCAGTTTTCACGATAGAATTATCAACACCACCCAATAGCACCCAATTTCCAGCGGGTATACCATCCACACCAATTCTATATCTATAGAAAAATCATTAAATACTTTATCGTTTATTTGAAAACATATATATATTTAATACTGTATATAAAAGGTAAATTAAAATATAAAAAGCCTACCTGGATTCAAAAATCCAAACATCCAAAACTTCTTGTACAGTCATGTCCTCTTCATCATCAATTGAATATCCTTCTCCCAAAACTCTTACAGTCTGACCTTTTCTAACAGAACCACTCATAATCCGTCCAAACGCGTCAAAAGTTGACGCGTCAGATGAATTATATAATTTTGTCACATAAATCATTAAGGGACCATCCGAATCGCATTTACGCATCGCCTCTGCAACATCTGTATCCATCGGTCCAGTGTATGTGTGTTCTATCTAGTGAAAAATAAAAAGTTTGGTGCTGCATCAACATCATGAAACAAAAAAAAAAAAAACGAAAAGAAAAAGCAATTATATATTACCAACCTTTTTACTTGCATTTTTTTCTGGCGATGGAATATGTTGAACAACCATGTCGACAAATCCAGTTGCTTGACCAAAGAATTGGTCCAATACTATCCGCAATAATGGTTTAACATCTAATTGAAAGTGAGAAGCCTTCAGATAGATACCCAAAGAAGCCAAGGTTTTTTTTAAAGTCGCTTCATCTTCTCCTATTACCTATAAAACACAAGAAATAGAGCATCTTTTATATAAAAACATAGCATAATAACTTTTGGTCGATCATACACCGACAATTACCTGAGAATAAATTTTGTATAATGGCTCCAGAATGAAATACACGAATGAACGTTGACTCTTAGTTTCCATGCCTTTTCTACTAAAAGACCTCTTGGTGGGATTATAATGAATATCACCCCACAAACGTTTTGCAAAATCATCAGCATTTATATCACCTGCTTAAAAAAGATTTTTTTTTATAGTGTTAAAGTATTGTATTTTATATTTTATCAAATATAAAAATATAAAAATATAATAAAAACAAATATACCAACCGTACGTGTCCGCATATATTTTTGCAAACGATTTTAGGGAAAAACACCAACCCATCTGACTGGACGCGAAACAAACATTTCCACGTTCAGGAGACACGCGAAGGTCACGACCCTGTGCGTGTTGACTAACAATAATTCAAAAACGGATATTTGAATTTTTGAATATTTATTTGAACTTTTTTTAAAAAAAATTTCAACAAACCTGATGATAGAATTCACTTCTTCAATGGTATGTTTTAACTTATAATAAGCATCATTTGGTGGTAATTTCAATTCTAAAATCAATCTATCTACTTTATTTACTACCAATGTGAACGCCAGATTTTCTTGTATAACGTGTCGTATAACGCGTTCACTATTAGCCATGACCTATAATAAAAAATTTTAGGATATGAAATTTTACAATAAAAAAACCAAAAAAAATCAATAGTTCACATATTTACCCCTTCTATCGCGTCTACTACAATAACTGCACCATCAGAAAGTCGAAGTGCGGCAGTAACCTCATCCACAAAATCAACGTGACCTATTTATATAAAGATAATTAAATAAAGTTTGGGCAATGTTGATATATAATTAATGATGATTAAACTTATTTACCCGGCGTATCCATAATATTGAACAAATAAGATTTAGATTTGGTGTCTTGCAAGACAAGTGTCATTGGCATGCTCTTGATACTGACACCTCTATCCCTTTCTAACGTATGAGTGTCTGTATAACGTTCCTACATATACACATTATAAAAACATTAACAATTTTAAAATAGTTAATAAATATAATAAGATGATACCAATTTAATAAATGGCAATTTGTCAAATGACAATTGATTAAAATACCTGTTTATCCACATCCCATGCAACCGAGGAATGGGTCTCATTAACCAACATATCAACAAAAGAAGTTTTACCATGATGTAAATGACCGACAATAGCAACATTTCTTATCAATTCAGGAAAATTCATCATATCCACCAAAAATCTAATCAATCCAAAATGATAAAAAAATGATAATATAATTTTAATTAATATTAATATAATGAATCATAATCAATTATAACAATAATAATACAATACTCTTTTTTAAATCTTGTCTCTGGAAGATTTTTTTCTACTAGTTGAAATTTTTTTATTTTTATTGGCTGGATTATAGGTTCGGATAAAGGTTGAGTATCTTCTTCCTGAACCAAAGTTTCCACTTCAGGACCATAAACTTCTTCAGCACTCGGATAATATTTTTTATCTTCATGAAGAATAACTTGAGTCTGAGGAACATCTGAAAGAGGTTAAGCCTCAGCTGTCAGTCGCATAAATAAATAAAAAAGAAAAGAAAAAAAACGATAATGAAAAGGCGTGTAAGGTTAAACTCGCGTCTCAAAAGTGATAGCGAAAACAAAAGTTAAAAGAGAGGCTTTTAACTTTTGCATATAATCGGAGAGAGCGAGAATAGAGACAGAAAAAAAAAAAGAACACGCATACCGTCTACTTCCATAAGTGCCATACTTGGACCACTAACGTCTTCCTCCCCTTCTTCATATAGATCTTCAACTTCTTGCATAGGCTGAGGTGCGATTTCTTCCTCATCGGAGTCAGGTAACTCTGGTCCAAGGTAGTTACCAAATTCATCGTAAAGTGAATCGTCCATGTTCTTGTAAGTGACTATATATAATAGTTATATAAAAGATGATAAAAAAAAAAAAGTTGTATATTGGTATAAGTCACAATCACATGAGGACAATCTACGGACAGTTCTTAGGGACAAACGACCCTAGCGTCGCCCGCGAAAAATTGTAGCCGGATAGATCTGCCGGTTACATGTGATTATATGATTCGGATTTGATTATGGATAATTCAATTTCGACTGCTAACCAAAAAAATGTCTTTAGCGTTAGCAGTTAGCATATTTATGAATCTCTTTATTATTGCTATCGAACAATAAATATGATCTCTAAATTTTTAAACGAATTCAATTCAAATTATTTTTTTACATTTTTTTTTTTATTATGTTGGACCAATATGCAAATGATGTGTTTTACTTAATTTTATAAAAAGTGCTAGTCAATAATTCAAAGGTCATAATGAATTCAAATTACCAAAAAATGTTTATAATGATAACGCTAAAATAAATTAGTATATTTATTTTATTATTAACTATTACTTTAAAAGTATTTAAACTTTAGATATACGTATAAAGTTTTTTTTATATTATAAAATTTTAAAACTTTGAAAAAATAGAATGCAATTGCAAATATTAATTACACATTATAAAAAGTTATTATTCCCAATACATCATATTTTATTAAAATCTTTCCAGGTTCTAGACATTGTTATGCAATTATTCAATGTCATAATATCATCATTCATTTTTTCTAGTGGTTTAAAATTTGAGCAAACATTTCTTAACCATAAATACCCTTTAGGCTTGTTGTATAATTCTTCTAAAAGTTCTTTAGTCTTAAAGAAATTAGAATTTAATACAAATTTAAATGCATTTATAGAGACTTAAATACAAATATATATCTTGTTCAATACTCTGTTTAAATAAGCAATCTCAATTTCATAATTATATTGTTTATTATTAATACTATTATCTTTATTTTTATTAGTTGATTCTTGAATTATTTGAATATTTGAAAGTTCATAGTTTGAAAATTTATAAGATTCATAATTTGAACTTTTTTGACAAAACATATTTACTAATTCACCTTCAGAGGTTGAAATTAATGAATATATTTCATTTCTTTATATCTAAATAAAAATACTGTTAATGTCAGATTTTAATATTAATATGTATAAATTTTTTATTGTTATCTTTTTAAAAAACATTAGATCAAGTTTTTCTATAGAATTAACTAAATATTTATATAAAAAAAACCTACTTTAAATATAAACAAAACATACACATATCTATTTGACTAGATTTGTAAAATACTTGTTATTATTGTTAGTTTGTATAATTTTATTTTTATATTCTTTTCATTCTTGTTTAAATTCTTTATATTATGATACTAATTTACAATTTTTTTCAAACATGTGAATTTGATATAATTGTCAAATAATAATTTTTTTTATAAGAATATAGTATAAATGATCAAATCATGATTTATAAAACTTATATAAATAATTACACTTAATTTGATTTCAATGAGATTCAACAGTTATTGTTGTTTTAATATGACTAATTTTTTTATCAACTGATTAAAATCATAGATTCTATTTTTCTCTAGAATATTATTCTTTTCAAAAATAAATGCATAATTAAAGCAAATTATTATCTTTACAAAAAAAATACATAGTTAAAACAAGTTATTATCTTTACAAAATTGCATTATTCACTAACATATTCTCTTTAAATTTTATTAGTATTTGTATTAAAAGTAACATCAGATTTGGGTAACAATATATGATATCTTAAATAATTCTTAACTAATTCAATTACAGATTTTCATAAACTTAAAAGACATAATACTTGTAAATTTGAATTATTTATTAATCTCCAATTTGAATCTATAATAGAACATTCTTAATGTATAATTTTAGGATTATAATTATAATATATATTTAGTTTACTAGAAGCTAATTGTCATTTTACTGTCTGTTATACATATCAAATACATAATTATAAATAAGCTTCAGGCCAAACAGCCTATGTTGTATTAATTTCATTATAATCTTTATCAATAAGTATAAAAGGAAAAGATTGCAAACTACATTCTTTTAGAGCATGCATCTATTGAAAAAGAATATTTGTTATGTTTCTGTTTTTTACTACTAAAATCAAAAAATAACTAAAAAGAAATCCAGTATTATTAATTATATCTAAAAGTGAATATAGTTTACATGCTTGATTATTAGTACCATAAGTTGCATCAATTACAATTGCATTTAGCTTATTACAAATTAAATGATTAAATAATAAGATTAAAAATTCAAAAATAGGTGTAAAAGAATCCAAATTATCCACAATAATCCTTTGATTAAACTCTTTTAATAAGCATTTAGCTAATATTAAAGAATTAGAATCACAAAAATATACTTAGCAAGATTCTATAGACTACCAGTAATAGATTTGCAAAATACTAAAGTTTTCATATCTATTAATACAATTATTTTAAACTTGATGTCAAATTTTAGAAACACTAGAATTAATATTATCCTAAATAAATTTTTTAATTTCAAATATTATTAAAACATGATTTAGTCATAAATACAACATCTTGTAAGAATATTCAACTTTAATTAAATTTAGATTAAATAAAATTTCTATAATAATTAATATTTTATAATTATCTCATTCAAGAAAGTTAAGAGTATTATGTTGCTTATTTAATTCAAGATGTTTTGCTTGTTATTTTCTAAGTTCAATCTGGCAATTACAAAAATAAATTAAAAGCAGTAAATTTTTTGAAGGCTTTTATCTTGATAAACCCATAAATAACCATTTTATCAAAAACAAGAGAAACAATGTAATGACTAATTTCAAATTCAATATTTTTTTTTTGTGATTTTTATCTTCTAAAATAATATTATACAAAGACAACAATTCAATATGAAACATTAAATCTAATCTTTCATTCTCATATTCATAAAACTCATCAGTATTATTTAATGAAATTAAAGTATTATATATAGTTTTAGTAATGTCTAAATAGTTAATTGTCATATTAGGTTGTTCTTTATTATTCTTTAAACATAACTATTTAATTTAGTTTCAGTATCGTAAACACTTTTTTACTTTGTTTCCTTTTTTATTCAAAAAATTCTCACTATTTCAAGTAGTATAACATCCCTTATAGAATTTGGTTTGTTTGTTTAATATAATTAAAAAAAAACTGAGTTATAAAATTTTTTTTCTTAATTTAAATTCACCTATAATCAAAAAAAAAATTTCAAATAAATATAAAATAAAATAAAACAAGCAAATATTATAAAAATTTTGAAACATTTATATTAATTCACTTTTGTAATAACAGTAATAATAGTAAAAGAAAATTTTATTTATTATTATATAGTAATCATAATAAATTTTATAAGAGTACAGACTTTTTTGATTTGTAATCAATATTGTTATTAATCAAATCTGAATCACAAAATCACATATAACTAATAGATCTATTTAGTTACTATTTTTTGCAAGTAATACTAAAATCATTTTAGAAACAGTTTAAATTATATAAATAGTTAGTTAAGAACATTAATAGTAGCTTACCCATAAGATTTTTTTGATACATGATTTTTAGCCAATTATATTGAAGAATTAGATGTAATATAAAATCAAAACAATTAAATTAAGTAAAAGCTTTTAAAGTAGAGTTTAGAGCACAAGAGCATAGAGCATGCCTCTAAGGATATGCACCTAGGACATGCCTATAGGCATGCCTCAAGTTCAAAAGGCATGCTTTTGTTATATAATATTTAAAGTTATTTAAATTGACTAATAAGTTCAAAGAATTGTAAATACTAAATCAACATATAAGATTTTTAAGAAGTTGTGAACTATGTGTTAATCATATAATTTAAAAAGAGCATGCTTATAGGCATAAGAGCTATGTCTTAGCTTAAAAGCATGCCCATATAGGCATGGCTAATTTTTTTTTATATCTTAAACTCTATTTTAAAATAAAAATTATTATTCTAAGATAAATGACAATATTTTAAAATATATATAAACCTAATAGCAAATTTTTTTTATATTTAATTTTATAAAAAATCATATTAAGTAAACTAATTTTAATCATTAAGTAAAAATTATAAAATAGGTCTTTCTGAGTTTAATAATAATAAAATTATTAAATAGATTAAAAACTTATTAAAATATAAATTTTTAAAGATTAGAATATAAAATTATAAAATAAAATTAACTAATAGGTTTATATAAATTAATCAATCAAATTCATAGTTTTTGTATTATTTAAGAAAATTTTAACTTATTTAAATAAACTTTGTTATATATACAAGTATATTTTTTAAAAATAATACAATATTTTAAAATTTTACTATAATAGATAAATAATTTTATTTATATTATTATAAAATTTTTTATTGATTAATTAAAAAATAAAAAAGATTTATTAGTAGTATATATTAATTTTAGATAAAATTTTAATATATTATACATATATCATAAATTACAATATAAAAATAATTTATATGCTCTCTATTTTTAAAAATATACAAATAATTGTACAACTATTTGAAAAATTTTAAAGTATTTTAAAATTTTATAAAATTACTTATCAGGTTTTTCTTAAGCTAATTTTTAACAATTTCTTCAGATATTATTAATTTTTTATAATGAGAACAACATAATTTAGTATATGCTTATAATATATACTACTTTATTATTAGTTAATAAGTTTAATAACCAAATCTTAGATAAGGTTTTTGCATATATGTTTTAGAATTACAATTAAGTATATTAATTTTATTAAAAAATTTTCTATAACATTGTCTAGTTTTTGCAAAAGCTTTCTATCTTGCAACATTTTAAGAAGGTGTATTAGTATTTATTAAATTTAACTAACTTTTGTCATATATCACAAACATTGCATTTTTTATATAAGTTGTTAGACTATTGCATACTGATTTGTGCTATTTTAAAAGCTAAATTTATTATATAAAAATAAAATTATTTTTATTATTTAA